TTTATTGAATTTTACCGATCATCAACGTGTATATCTTTTAATTATGCACAATTTTGTTCTTAAACTTTTTTCTGTAACTTCAATACCTTCGGAGTTATATATTATTTTACCGAGCGAAATCCACGCCACTGTCGCAATATAAAAGGGTAAATCGATTAAACTATTTAAAAATTGGGTATTTAATTTGGGTAAATTTATGGGTTCGTTTGGGTAACGAGTAAATTAACAATTAAAACTGTTTCACACATTTATTGATACAAAAAATAGGTTATAAAATTCGGAAAATTAAGCACCCGAGGTCGAATAACTCCGAAGGTATTGAAGTTACAGAAAAAAGTTTAAGAACAAAATTGTGCATAATTAAAAGATATACACGTTGATGATCGGTAAAATTCAATAAAATTGAATGTTTGGGGAGAAAACGACGAAAAATAGGGAAAAAAATGAAATTTTTGCCTTGCGGGAGTAATAACTTAAAAAATATTGATGTTACAAAAAAAGTTTTTAATAAAAAAGTTAATAAATTTCATTTAGAAGAAAAAAGGTCTCTATAATTTTTTGGCTAACACTGATATTTCTCGAGATATCGAATTAAACGCGTTTGCATCGAAATGACCTTGAGCTGACCTCAGTACAGCCCCTCAAATTGGAACTTAAGCTCAGGATGCACCCCCCTATCGATCCTCAAAATCCCCAAACTGTGCTCGCTCATGTTTTTTTTAGCCCTTTTTTCCGTAATTTGACTGGACTATCAAAACTGCGTAGGTAATAACTTTTTGCTCAATGTAACATTTATTTTTAATACACCTCTATCGGCTCATCAAAATTTAAAATGCTAGATGGGTCGATAGATGTGTCCGTAAGTGTACATACCTAACACGCAGACAGAACAGACACACGAACGTAAGCAAAAATGAAATATTTAGATACTAGCGGCCGCCCGCGACTTCGTTCGCGTTAACTTTTGAACCCCCGTTTTTCCCCTTTAGGAGATGAGTTTTTTAAAATCCTGTCTTAATTATACAGCAGATTTGTAAAAAATGCAGAAATATATGTTTTAAACTTTTATAGTTACTAACATTATAGTAATATAGGGACTAGCTAAAAAACAGGGTACATGATGGTGGCAATCCCGTAAATAACATGAATTACTATTAACGCAGAAATATCTTCCTTTTGGGACTAGAGTATGTGGAATATTGTACGCACTCTCTTACTCTTCGTTTACACCAAGGTATAAAACATATAGTACACAGTACTTGTATCAAACTTGTTGGATAAACGAAATATGTAAAGTAAATAAGTGTTTTATACTTATGAGTTGTCTATGCAGTGCAGGTATGGTTTAAACAGCCACAACAAGTTTTGTTTAAAACTAGTATACGACTTGTTTGTTTCTTGGTGGAAACAAGGGCTAAGAGGGTCCGGCTGACAATACATACAATGCAAAAAACATATGTAGTAAATAATCCACATCTCGATCATATTCTCTACCTCGCCTTATGGCTAAATCGCATCTACAGTCCAGTTAGTGGTTTACATCGGATCTTCCTCTCGTATCGGAGCATCCGCCAAGTATCTCTTCCCAACCAAAAAGTGCAGATCAGTTTTTTTTAAGAAGATTGCCATAAAATTTACAACTTTTGAAAGTTGTCCATGATTGGAAAAAAGTGAAACACTCGGGTAAAGTGATGTTACTAACTGGTACATATTTTTTTTCCATATTTCGCCAATCCAAATTGCGAATGCTATAAAAACTGACACGATTAGCAACTGAACACATTAGGGCTTCGACCTTGGGGTCACGTCACATGCCGGCTTCACATGTTTGTGTCTGTACCATGTCATGTGGTCCAACTATGTACCTACTTACTTCTGGACCAAGTAAAAGGTTGCTCACCTCGTCGCGACACTTGTACGAGGGGCTAAGGACGGCAGCCGATTAAATTAATGCTAACACGACTGCGTGCGCATTGTTTAAACCGTTCAATGAAAAACTGGACGAAGTCCGAAATGAGTATGTTGATATTTATTATTATTTCAGATTTTTGGGGCTATCCTAATGGAACTGTAATCATAATCACTGCGACCTAAAGGCCTATTATGACTCGCCACCAAGTTAAAGTATCCAATTTTTATTAAAATCGCTCCAGCCGTTTAGACGTGAAGAAGTAACAAACATACACACTCGCAAACTTTCGCCTTTACAATATTATTATGATAGTGTGATATCTGATAATACAATCTCAGAAGTTCTAGTTTAGGTCAATGTACACTACTACATACCTACTAGAGACGTATCCTACCTATCCCTACTTTATTTTTGTCAATGGTTCAGTACCTACCCTTACTAAAGTTCCACACTCATAGAATCTAACCGCTGCTGCCTATGGAACCCTTTCCGACTCGAACTAAGCCTATTTTAGCGTTCCTGTAAAATGATGCAGCTTGATACCTGGGTAGAAATGGAAATGTTCTAGCAAATACAACAATTTTCTTTAGATTTGAAGATCTGGCAAGACAACATTTAATATTCATTTAGTGTTTTTTATAACCTGAGGTAGCCATTTTTAAAACCGAATAAAAACAGCAGAAATAACGTTGCCTTACATGTCATAAAATATTGTTGATAGGGACGATTGAACTCATAGTTCACAAGAAAGTCTGCGTAACCTTTGATTTATTGCGCGTCTTTGAACTCAAACAATCAATGGCGCAACCACACCAAGGAAGATTTAATTAGAAACCTACCGATGAACCAAGAAATTTGTTACAACTTAATTACCACAGTATTATGTAATATCTAACATATTTATTTATTTTGAAATCATATTGCATATTCCCTGATTGATGACTATGTCCGTATACAATTGAAAATGCTCATGCGTGATAAAGTAACGTCGCCAAGTTTTTTAATTATATTTTTTATTGAATTGCTTATATGTGAACCCCAATGCTGTGGCGACACATTATTTTAATATATCCAGTTTTAGGGGGCAAATTAAAATAAAAACTTAATATATACAATAAACCCAAAAAAAACTATTTGGCCAACGTATTCGATATGCGCCTGAGCCGCGAGAGTTCAATCATTCAAATAAAAATATAATAAATATTTAAAGTTGCTTGAGGACAAAATAAACGAAACATGGTCAAATGACAAAATACTACCAACCGTAATAAATCCATTGGTGCCATGTTAACTGGGCCAAGCCAAGACAGCTCAACTTGTCGATTTTAAATAGGTATGGCTGTGATTTTTGTTTTCCGTTCTCGAGTACCTAACTCAAATTAGTATCAACCTGTATTATACGCTTTTTATTAAAATGCAAACTACTTAAAAAATAGGAATAAAGAAAAAATAGTGAAACTGTGTTAATCGAGACTTCATTTTTACATTAATCGGTAAGAGCAATCGTGTTTTTAAACGAGCACCTGATGCATGTGAATGAATTCAAATTCATTCACATGCATCAGGTTCAAATTCAAACGACCTCCGTGGCCGAGTGGTTTGTACGCCGGGTTTTATGGTATCGCCGACTCGAGAGGTCACGTGTTCGAATCCCGGTGGGGGCAGATGTGTGTGTGACGAACACGAGCATTTGTACTCCAGTCATGGATGTTTAATATATATTTCTGTATTAATATACTGATATATGTACGGTATAATGTATTCTATCCGTTACCCTAGTATCCCATAACAAAAGCCTTATAGTGCTTACTTTGGGGCTAGGCTAATTGGTGTGAGTGTGGAATAAATAAATAAAAATATTGTTTGCCCAGTAATTACGTTTATCAAATACAAACGGCCCGTCCCGGCTTTGGATGTATAAGCTCTTCGGATGTATCGGGTGTAAGGGTGTGTTAAATACTATAAAAACATAATGAATCAGCAATCACTTGATTTTTAAGCTTAGCAAAAAGTTTTAAGTATATAGGGCGAGTATATTAAATCTATTTAATATACTCGAAAATGGCCGCCATGCCATGGGCATGGCCATCCTGATTTTTATGTTTAGCAAAGTGTTTATTTTAGGCATATACCTAGGTTGAAAATATTTTTATTCCGTAATTCCCGAACGGGAACTTCGTGGGTAAAACCGTGAGGCACAGTTAGTAATAACATATTTGAGCAAATTTGCTGAATATATTTTATAGATAACTTGGTATTATTATTTCTTGTCGAAAAATCGATTTAAAAAAATATGAAACACTTTTTTTAAGTTACAATTTAGTTTATCTAAGCCAAGTTTCAAAGCTGTCAAACTCGTTTTCCCATACAAACTTTGAACCCCTATACCACCAAATTCACAGTGGAATATTCAAAAATCCTTTCTCGCTTGATGCCTTCGTCATTTAAACAACCTATTTACTAAATATCATGCCTCTACGACTCAAAGTGTAGGCGTGCATTGACGCACTATTGAAAACTTCAACATGCTATGTCTTTGTTTTATGAGGGTAATTTTAAAAAATGAAAACACTGATAGCATTTCTATTTTATACAGAGTATGTGTGCAAATTTTTAATCCTATGCACTTTGGATGATCTCCCATACAAACTTAGACACGTAATTTTGTAATTTTTTGAGGGTAGTTGTAAAAATTTTACATGACAGGCTTAGTGTACGTCTTTTAAATAATGTTTATGCAAAATTTACAGCCAATAGGGCAAGTGATAAGATTTTACGAACAAACGTTTTTTTGCAAATTTCACGCTTCGGAGGCTGAATTTAAAATAATCCCATCTTATTACTTGTCTTGGCAATAATAGGAACCTACTGCCCAAATTTCATCATTCTGGGTTCAGCCGTTTCGGCTTGATGAGATGAGATGCGTGCGTTGATGAGTCGGTCTGTCAGTGTAACCTTTTCTCTTTTTTAAAATAGTTTAGATACCAACTTTTGGTAGCGTAAAGATAATTTATGTGCAGACGAAAACAATATGACACATATATGAAAATTAAAACGATGACGTTATATTTTTATTCCTTATTTCCAGATGTCAGTCCGCCCCCAAAGTAATGGATAGCCACAGCAGATCCGCGTCGCCGCGAGACCCGCCGCGGCCGCAGCACCGGCCGCCGTCGCCGCCGTCGCCCACGCCCCAAGGCTTCGACAACAGAGCCTACTCCCACGACGAGGCCGACCCGAACCACAACGACTCTTTCACCTCCAACCCCCCGCAGCAGAATGGACACAGCAAAGAACCAAACGGAGACACCAAAACGTTAGAAGCCGTCAACCTTGAACTGATCAACCTCACACCCAAAAATGGCAGCAAGAAGAAAGATGTCGAAGTGGACATGAACGCCACGAACCCTTACGATGAATACTTCGTTCCGGTGAACGAGCACAGAAAATATATGAGGTACGTATTTCATTATTTCCTTCAACTTCCTTATTTATTTTACTGAGTGCTTGTAGCCAAAAGTGGAGGAGTACCTACGATTTTGAAGCTTCTTTATTCAATTGATTCTCATTTCATTCGGATTCCTTAATGATATCCGTTAAATGCGTAGCACAAGTGCAAAGATAATCTAATTTTATAGTAGGTGATTACTACTTTTTAAATTAATAATATACTGCACTCTTTTCAAGGCTTCCGTTGGTTATTTTAAAAGTTGTTTGAATATAATAATATATATCAATAATATTAACTTCCAACAAACTGGCATAAATTATTTAGTCCTAACTAATAAAGTCCTATATTCCTATTGATAAGGATTAAGCATCTTCATTTGCCTGCCCTATTCCCAATTTATTTTTCCTTTCGGTGCAATACAAGTAAGTGTGTTCTTCTCTCTCGTTCTTCGCAAACACCACCATTCATTTTTCACACAGTCTTTCCGCCTTTTCTTTGGTCTTGCGTCTTTATTAATTTTCATCGCCTTTTCTATTACACACATGCTTTTTGTCTATTTATCTCACATATCCGTCTCATGACAACCAGTTACTTCTCAATCTTTCAGTAACTGGTGGCACTTGCAAGCTTCCATCAATATTCCTACTCATGCTTTTCTTTACCCATTTTATTCCCATTAATCATGACACACATAATTGTTTCTTATGTCTGCTCAATAAATATGCAATGATTTAGCTAGCTTACAAGTACTATGATTTTTTGGCAAGTGTATATATCTTAGTTTAAATAGGTATTGGTGCAATGACTTCACAGACTAGCGTGTCCACTCCACAGGATATTTTAATTAGCACGCTCATTTGCAGACAGTGTTTTAGTTTCGGTTTAATGAAAACACAGTAGCTAGATTTCCACTTCAATGATATTTATAAATTGGAAACAAATGGACCAGTGCGAACATCGTCCTTGAGGCGCTATAATCTTTTTCCAAGCTCAGGTAGAATAAACAAAAAAGCCAATCAACTAGAACGAACTTAAACATCGCATAGATAAGTACAGGCAACCACTTGTCAAGTTACCTAAGACTGAAAATAAACTCGAGCAAACTTTAAGCTACATAGAACTTTTTACAGGTCATTGTAAGACTCACGTTCTTTTGAGAAAATTTTACATTTTTGGGGTTAAAGTGGACGAGCTGGCAATGGCTTAGCACATTTATAAGCACAGGTAATATTGCCAACACATAAACACGATCTCTTGTAAAATCTTTATAATTTATTGATTGTACCATTATAATTAATCTATCTGTTCAAAATTTGCGAGTACCTATGTGTCACAGTACCCATGTGATAATGAAAAATGTAACTCTTTTGGTTACTTTTTTTTCTTCCGATAGAAAAATTTAGAAATGAGAAGAGAAACTTGAAGAAAATATCAAAAAGCTATTTTAGTTTTTATATTTTTTTCCGCGGGCTAAGGTTCCATGGCTCCTCGTGATATGTACCCGTTAAGCTGTAGTGGGGCGTACGATAGCCAAATACTTGTTTACCACCATTTATAGTTATGATGAATCAGCATTTATTTTACACGCATGCTACTAAAAGTACCTAAATTACGGTATGCATATACTTACAATAGAGATAAATATTCGATTATAGATGAAACCTATAATTATCAAAATAAATGTCGAGATTCCGACGCATTACGAACGTTAATTTACGCATTTCATAAATGGTGATTGCCAATTATATCGCGTTTAAAACGGAATGTAAAACTATGGTATTTAACACCGTTGAACCATCTGAATGGCAATAAAGTTTAATTTGTGTTCAAATCTCGATTGAAATATTACAGACACTTTACCCTATTTACATAATAATTATGTTTGTTTGTGCATTTTGTAAATCTTAATTCATTTTAATGCCGCAGTCGCTCAGCGTTCATAAATGAGGCTGCAATTTAGTTCTAATATATCTATTACTTTATTATACAATGTTTTCCTGATTAACATAACTAATAAGTTTAAGTAAACAGGTACAAGTTTAAATCGCATACGTCTGCTATTTCGATTCAATTTTTTGTTGATTATGGCTTCGTCTCATTACGTGACGATTCTGCCAATGGGCACATCAGAATCTGCTATTAAAAGTTTGCTTTAATTTAAACTGGATTTTATTAAATCTCTTTACTGTGTGCTTGTCATAATACAGTGATTAATACGTAGGAAAGTACAAACTATAAACTGTCGTTTCGAATTTTCAACAAATATTTAGGTAAAAATACATAAAATTCATTTAAAGATGACCTCTAATACTCTTGAAACTTAACGTTTTACTGAGAATTATTTTACTTGCCTTATTAGTCGTGATGAAGTGCTTAAGCACATTCTTGACTTGTATATTGTAACTACTTACTGCATACATGCTTTTACTATTTAGTAAATTTAGTTCGCGAAGTTAGTGACTTAGGTACCTAAAGTAGGTGAGCAAGTTGTCGCCGCTATGCACTCGAGGCGACCAGCCACATCGGCCAATCCACTGATCAATTTTACGCAACAACCTATGCAGCCACTGATCCGTAATAATCTTAGGTACGAAAAATAGAAGTAGCGAGTCTAATAACAAATGAAAATCAAGGAATTCCAAAGCATCCCAGATCTTTTTCGCGCTTTTCTGTAGTACCTACATGCTTTCCCTATCAACAAAATCACATTAATATCAGCCACGAATCTGTTTTACAACATGAAGTTATTGGAGCTTTATATTCTATCTAGGGTATTTAAGCTTATTTATTTAATTAGAACATCTGTTAATCAATAAATTGCATTGTGCCTTGATGTGGAATGGGAACAATCAACGGGCAAGAAAAGTTTGATTTCGCGATATCGAACTATAGACACAAAATCATGGCAGTATGTGATAAACAGATTCTACGTGAATTATTAATTGTAAAGAAATAAAAAAACTACGTCAACATTCTCCGTGTTTAAATTAAGATAGGATTTAAAAGTAACCGCCACCGATGACGTAACTCCCCTTGTTCGTTAAGCGGCGTAACATTCAAACCGTAAACAGTCACCGGTCCGACCTTGAAAACGAAATTCTAAACATCATCAACGGCCGGACCTAGTAACGATGCTTTTTGAATTGCAAATAGTTCGCATCGCATCTTCGTGGTCTCCGTAAAAATAACAACACGTACTTACAGATATTTTTAGCAAGGCAACCGAATTTCTATTTTTATGAAACAAGGAATGCACTTTTTGTAAATATAAAGTTCTAACATAAGCACAAACTGACAACCAAGAATTTGAAATAGAAGAAGATAACTAATTTTGAAAGATAGGGTGTAACGGATATCCCGTTTGAATTGGATTTTGCTTCTAGAAAAGAAAAGTATCATACATCAGCTGCAGCTGCTTCCGCCATCCCCTTCATTTGATATTAAGATAACGATATGTTTTGATAACGTTGGCAATTGTTCTTGAACTTTGAAGTGAAAAGGGAAGTGATAAACTTGCACAATTTGCCTCCTCGTGATTAAGTGTCGCCAGTGACGCGTGAATCTCTATTAGATCAGCAAAGTCCTGGACCAATAATTGGTCCAAGGCTCAGTATATTCTCGACTACTTAAATTAGCTGCACTTCCAAAAAAATAAGAAAGCTGCTCTGAAAATTTGAGAATTTAGGAGATAGAGAATACGCTGTTGCGCGGCTGTAGTCTTTTTTTTTGCCTTTTTAGGGCCAGCTAGTAGATACTCAATAAAAACTTACTCTTGAACTTCCTTCTGAAGGCATAACCTGAAATTAAAATCAAAGGTTTATTGCCGAAAGTTAATTGCCGCTAAGCTACAAAATTTAGAGCGGGCAAGGCCGTTCGTACAAAATATAGCGCGGGCAAGACACCAATGATTACCATAATTGCCAAAACTAGTTAACAACGTGTGCAATCATATTATGTTTCCTATTCATAAACTGTTACATTGTTAATAATGTTTCCGTTTCCTCGTACTTTGCAAAAAGGATCATTGGTCGCCTACCCTAACCTATCCTTAGCTGGTTTAGATAGGTACCTGCCGTGAAGCATATGGTTAATATTATTTTCTCAAACATGCTTGGAAATGTGAGCATTATTTTGACAACCTCTGTCAAGATAAATCGAAATTGCTGTACTGACTACATACGTGCGAGCAGCAGCCAGCAAAATTTGTATAATAATCCCAAAAATCCATGTCTGTCGTGTTAAGCGATCAAATAAATTTAATAGTAAATTCATATCAGTCGTGTTATTTAAAAATGGAACGATCTTTAAACATGGCAATCAAGGAGGTAACTTATCAAAGGTTTTATTCAAATTTCGAATTGGAGATCGAAATAGTAAGCTTTTTTAACACTTTAACAGGGGAAATATTATTATTGTTCTTCACTGTTCGTCAATGATTTTCCAGAATTTTAAAGGTTCTGCCAAGGTACTACTTAGTTTTAATTTTCGCGTATTATTTGAGAAAAATATTATTCAAGCTTTAGCCCACATTTACACGTTTGTCCATCAATGCCTCTTTTACTGGTCGCTGCAGTAATGTACTATTGCTATTGAATTCACATTGTTTATTAGATCCTCAATTAACTAGATAGGAACTTACAATTTTTTTGCTACAAGTAGTTACCTATCGGATATGTTTGGATTTGGAAATAAAAAACAACTACTTTTGTGTGAAGGGGTATAATTCTTTCCGGACACAAAATAAAAACTACTCTGCTACTTAAACTGAAATCAAAGTAAGTGCAATATGTGGTGCCTAACCTCACAATAATGTCTACGAAGGAAAAAGCAAGTAAGGATACTTCAAACTTCTGTATCCTAAGAGAAACTTTCTCATTTGGCAGGGCAGATATTGAGAGGAACGTCTTTGTCGCACATTGTGTTATATGTCCGGAAATAAAGGAAGCTTCGGTCACGAGACTCTTTATTATGATGCAACAGTGTTGTATAATCGGACACCGCTGACACTCCTTTGATGATAGCAAAACGCTGTGCATTGAAGATTTAATTTGCATAGTCAGGTCGATGAATCGCAACGAACATTCAATCAATTAGTATGACCAATAACAAGTACCAGACACAATTTTGACAATATAACGGATAAAAAAGCAACTTGAGCTAACCTAAATTCTTGAGCAGCTCAATCAAAAATCTTGCTTTCGTTTAAATTGCACGTTCATGCAAAAACTTGCAAACTTGCTCATAAAAAAGTACTCCCTTTACAAATTTAGTTCATAAAACGTAAACATATTCGTAAATTGGTAAAATAATTCCAAGTGTTTCTTCTTGGTTAGTTGATATAATATGCGCAACGAGCATCTAGTATTCACAACCTATCAAATAAATGTGTGTCAAAAATCTTCTACAAAAAGCTACGGAATTATGAAACTTTACTTAAAAAACCGGCCAAGTGCGTGTCGTGCCACGCGCAGTGTAGGGTTCCATAGTTGGCTGTAGTTACCACAATATATTTTAGCAGTAGTCTTTATTTTGTACCTATGAATATATCGGAAATTAGAAAAACTAAATAATATCAATCTATGTATCTCAACAAAAATAACTTAATCAAATTCAAACTGCGTCTCAAACTCAAAATCAATTCGATATTATTTTTTTAAATACGAATGATAACCCCGTTTTTTTTCCTCCCAGACGGGGAAGCGGTTGTGAAATTCTCTTGGATACCCTGCAGCCGGCTGCAAAGTTATGTCAGACTAACTGACAAAAAGCTTCATCTGAAGTGATCATCCTCTAAGAACGGGATGTATAACCGCCGATCTCTTCAAGTGCTTATATACTTTATATAAAAACGTAACGTTAGCGCGACTCAAAAGCCGTTTCCGTTGCTACTCGCGGTGACGTTGTGGAACTTATGATATTTTATTGTGGTTTTTGACGTGACAACGTCTTAAATTAGGTTGCGGCTGGGAGTCACTTATGAAAAAGTGTAACGCTCGGTAACGTTACGATGAGTCTCTCGTGTTAAGTTTAAGTTTACATGTACAATGTTTTAGTAAACAAAATATATTTCTATAGTTAAAATTTGTGCAATTCTTATTTTCATTCAATTCCTTGTTCCTATTGTGCAATTTAATTATATTCATATCAATAAATATTCTACCGAGAAAAAGACGTTGTCACGTAAAATCTTCGCCCGTAAAACCGACTTTACAGGCAACCATTTTTTAAATAGTTTTTTTTTTTAAATGCAAATTTTTACGCTACAATAACTTCATCTATGACACTTTTAATGTTTTCTTCTAAGGAATTTTAAAATGTAATAAATTTTCTTTAACCAAAGTTGAACGACTATTACTCTTTAACTAACAATCTATCTTAACCGTTATAGTTTTCCTTTAAAGTTCATGATAAGCGTAAGCGTAAAGTTCATCATGGATTTTTCTCTGTTTTCCAAGCCATTAGTTTAGCTTTTAGGGAGGGGGGGAAATTTCCTTAAATAGAAAACTAGTCTTAGGAACTCCTCAGTAATTTTAAAGTCTTTTCAACGAAGGGGTAAATTATGAAACACTTATTACACGCCCTACTCGAACAAAAATTAGCACTTTAAAGTTCAATATTTTGCAAACGGATCCCTAGATAGAAAAATAGTCTTAGGAACTCATTAGGAATTTTAAAGCGTCTTTTCAACGATATCCCACTCGATGGGGTAAATTATGAAAAAAATCATCACCAGTTACATATAGGCGTAGGGGAACTACCCTAAAAAAAATTCAAAATGTTATTCTACCATTTTTTCGGCGGAATTGATATACATATCTTCACAAAATGACAGCTCTCTAGTGCTAATAGTCTCCAAGTAAAACCGGAGACAGACAGACGGACATGACGAAACCATAACAGTTCCTTGTCAGGACTACAGAACCCTAAAAACGTGCAAGATTTAAAATTCAGCACCAACAATGTTGTTTTCCACATGGAACGTCGTCATGCATGTATACCGTCTGCAATGTTTTGCATTTCTTTCAGGCGGGGCCTTTGTTCTGGCGGCCGTTGAATATGCTTCGGCTTTCTAAACTAAATTGTTAAGATGTAAACGCGTCCTATTTGTTATTACTAGTCCAGGTTGTTTGCCACACTTTCTGTCGGATTTCACTAAATGGAAAACAATTTTAACTCAACATCCTTTTAACAGCAATTAAAGTTTGCTTAACCACAGGACCTTGTAAATTTTACAGTCGCTTTTATGATTTGATGTTATTAATGTACTTAGCCACACTTTTTTGAATTACATTATGATGATATGCCCACATTAATATTATTAAAGGGCGTGAAGACACCTTGACACCTCAGTAACAACATATCACTCCAGTTTCCATTGTGGAGTTGCGTAAGCTGAAATGACAGTGTGATATTTGAATCCATTCATATATAGCTAATACCGTGCTTGCTCAATAGTTTCGAGCGATCATCTACTAAAAATGTGTGTCACCAGTTCTATTGATGTTTAGTAAGTACATTACTTAACTATTCTGTGGTTCAGGTCAAATGATGCGTGCCAACAAAACACGAACGCTAAATTACATAGATCGCTGATACACATAATTAAAGAATTTAGGAAAACACTTATTACCTAATGCTTAATTTTCGCGGTATTACAGAGTTATTTTTACAGTTCAACGTCATTAAGTATTCATCAGTGTTGCGTAGACACTCGGGTTAGTACCTAATACGTATTGTCTTAGCTCCACGTGGTAGTACGCCACGACTGACTCACCTTAAGTTAAGGTAGCGAAATTTCTTTCATGAACTTCACGCTGTCACACTTTCAAAGTGTAGTGTGAAGATGGATCAGCTGGGGTCCACTCCTCGCAATATACCCTGTGTAAAAGAAGGTCCTAATAAATTATATAAGCTCGCGTTCCTATAGTTCACGTCAAAGTCCTGGGGACCATAGCGAAGTCGATTGTTCCGCATGAGGTGGGGGGGATAGATGTGAGGGGGGCACAGCGCGCGCGCAGGAACAAAGCGCGGGGCATCGACCGCCTGGCCGAGCTCACCTCTAGCCTCCGATACTATTAGGGTTGTCAGATATTCGTCGGGAATCAGTCGGATTGTCCTGACGTTTCATGCGATGTTCACACTCCCGACAAATATCGAAATCTCCAGATAAGAGATCCGGAAGCCTTCAGTAAGCCAAAAGTGAATGGACTATACTAATTAATTAGCAATTCTCCGCCAACATTCCCAGAATCCCGAAATTTGAGAATCTTGTCCAGCAGTGCAGTGCTATTTCTTAAGACACTTTGAAATTGGAATACGAAATTCAAATAAATTTCAAAACACACCGGCGGATTCCGCGGTGTCAGGTAATTTTGTTCTTACAAAATAGCACTGCAGATATAAAAACTTCTCGATCTGGAAACCCTAGAGATACGAGAGGTGCACGCGGATTTTGAAATAATGTGCTGTGTAAAGCAATCACTGGACTATCCTATCCCTATTGCACCATGGGCACCTCCCCTGCACGGAAACGGGACAACGCGATCGATGTAGTTACTACATGACATCATGTTTCCATACCTGCCTACTTTAGCCATGCGAATTTCTGGCTTTAAACGTGCGCAAAAGTTTATTAATAACAACAAGTTTAACATTGCACTACAAAATGTAAAATTTAAGATTTGGATCATGTTTTTCGGTCCTTGAAAGGGTCAATCTCAAATTGGGTGTTATTATTATTAGTTGTTTTATTCAACAAGTACCTGCTTGCCTACCTAATTAGTTAGTAGATAAGTTCCTATATCCGGAAAATCACAATAAAATAACAATTATATTAGAAGTTATTATATGGGTACCTACCTATATACACCTAGCTAGGAGCCTGTTTCATTAAATCATCATTGAAAAAGGTTTAATGTCTTTTGTTAATTCTCCCTGATGGTCGTACACACAAAACGTCTAAGTATTTTGGGTGCTGGAATTCAAACAACTCTGGTATGCAGTGAATGTTTACGTAGGTGAGAATTCATTCTTTATTACTCGCTGGTAATAGAAAAAAGTTTCACTGTTAGTAAGCTCTGTAATAATAGTCAAAGAAATGAACATCGTAATTAGCTCCCATTCAATTGAACAAAAAGAAAATGGGAGTGGGGTAGGATCTGGTAGGATAGGATAGAAGCTATGCAGGCAACAGAATAAAGGGTTCATTTAGCTGTCACGTCAAAATTGTATATTTGATGTTAGCTAAATGAAGAACAAATTGTAAACCGTAATCTATCACACCAATCAATTTGCAAGAAACTCCCACCCTAATTAATAACTATGTTCAAAGTAAATACATTTATGTTTTTTTAAAGTTACAGTTTTCTGTTTCAGAGGGGAGAAATTGTACGTGACAGCAGATAAACGCGGTGAGAAAGGAGGCTGCAAGCGACCTCTCTGCTGGACACTCTTGGGGCTGGTGATCGCAGCGATAGTAGCACTGATAGTTCTAGCAGCTAGTGAGTACCAAAACATTTCGTATATATAGGATTCAATTAAAACCAAATTGATTGGTTACTTTTATTTGGAAGTTTCTCGGTATATGTATGTAATACCACATTGTTTAAATTACTACCTCGGCTTCGTATGCTAGCGTGAATACGAAAGGTCCATTTATGCACTAGTTTTTAACATAATGCGCTCTTGAAGACTTCGACAGTTCTTATTGTTCGCATACACCAGTGATTTTACATAACCACGAATAATTAGGTAGTCAAGGGGCATTAAAACCTTGGCATTCATGTCTTGTTCCCAAAATTCGAGATAAGGGACCCGTTAAATTCTCTTTCAATAGATTGACAAGCTGGAAGTTTCTCTCAGAGTTTCCGCTACCAATTAGATTTTCACGGAGCACATTTCGAAGACGGGTACGGTCTGCGATCGCAGGTGTTGGATAATCAAATACTGAGCAAGTAGTTCCTTGACCTGCACACACAAATATATTATCCCCCCAATCCCTTTGATGTGTGTCGAATAACCACGAGTCAAGCTTCCGGCAAATTTCCCACACCTGCATTTATCGCGATCATTGATGCAGCTTCGTAGCGATATACTCTGCAGAACTTCAAATGTTGCCTAAGCACCATACAACATAAGAGAGATAAGAAAATATACCTTCATAGAAAAATATAATTTCAATGGCCAAATCTCAAATGGCTAGGTTTAGATTGATTGTTATGGCATAAATAAATATCCTAATAGCCAGTCCTCAAGTTGGCTTGCCCTTGGTTGATACTAAGATATATTATTCCAGCCGGTGTGCTTTTCACGAACTCCCCAACCACCGTGGAACAATACAACTCATCTGTCAGCAAAGCGCGTGCTCTCGGCGGCCTCGGAAGTTTCAATGACGACACACCCGCCGTTGATGTCCACGACCACAGCCATCACGACCACAACCAAGACGACCACGTGCACGATGACCACCTCGACCACGCGCATCCAGCTGAGACCACCACGCAACAAGCAACGCAGAACGACGAGGCTCTCGACAGTAACTTGGGATCCGACGAAGTCACAGACTCTTCTATGTATGGTACGTACAAGATATATTTTTCCACCAAATGAGTACATTACACCATATTGTGAACTCATAAACGAGAAGTGCCCACAGTTTAAACAACTACTATTTAGGTTATATTAAATCATGAAATTAATTAAGGATTTATACTTTATACTAGAGACAGACAGTTCTTTGATCATAAAGTATGGAATGTATTCCAAACATTACATTACATTACATCAGCAATATAACCTTATCCTAAAAATTATCATAATATATACTGGTACTATTGAAGAGCTCCATGGCACAGTGATTAGCGAGTTTGTTCTGCGATCGTAGATGTTAAGCAACATTCGCAGTGGTCATAGGAAAGTTAAGTAAAAATTTAGTCTCTTAACTCCTCAATGCTTCGGAAGGCGTTAAGCCGTTGGTCTCGGCTGCATCTATAGTCGTCAGCACTCACCAAACCGCACTTTGCTAGTGTCGTGGATCATGAAACATTTTCTCTATTCTATTCACACGGATGGCCTGTGCCTTTGCAGTAAGAACATAAATACGCTGATAATAATGATGATATTTTACAATGTCCTCCAAATAAACAGATTACCTAACAAATTTTTCGTTTTCTTGCAGTTCCTCGCACTGTGGAAGGTGAATTGAGAATCGATAATGAAGAGTACACTCCTGAAATGCAAAACCCTGACAGTTCAGAGTATCAAGAGTTTGCTTCCACCTTCAGTGATGCACTAAAACGGGCTCTTTTCGATAGGAACACCATAGAAAACGGAAATAACGACATCACTGTTGAAGTCATTGAAATCAAGTAAGCAATTCTCGATTTTTTCCAAACTTTAAGAGTATCTACACTCCACTAAAGATTCTAAATTAAAATTACGCTTCAACTTCACTCAGATCTAGGCATCGTATTTATGTTTGTAAAAAAATACAATAATTGTGTTATTCTTATTTCCAGGAAGGGATCGTTATTAGTAACATACAGAATACACTGGACTCCGAAACTAAACGCAGAAAGCAGCGAAAATTTATTGACAGCAAAATCGTTACAGACAAAACTGAACGATTATCTTTCCAGAAACGACAGAATGATTAGTACTTACCATGTGGCTGAAGATAAAATTACATCAAGACCAGTTCTGGATTTATGTAAATTTAGTAATAACGAATGTCAGTACAACTGCGAATTTGATGATACTAGTTTAGATTTTACATGCACGTGCCCACCTGGTAAAATTTTAGATATTGCAAATCCTAAAAAGTGCACTACACTTTTCCCGAACTCCGAGCAAACAGTTTTCGATGAAGATAACAAGCAGAAGGACGTGAGTCTCGAAACAAGTACAAATCCTAGCACAACAAAACCTGTTTCAGAAAACGAAAAGCCAGATGATTTTGAATCTGTAATGACCTATTCACAAAATTCATTCCATAAAACATATGACACTGATACAACAACGGAAAATCAGAACATCGAGCGTCACAATAGTCATGCGCCTGAACCAGAAGCTGAGCCAAGACCAGAGCCTACATCAGAACCAGAACCTGAACCAAGCACAGAGACTAACGGGGTGAAAGGTTTACACGCTGAAATCGATGAGCCAACTTTTATAATGACATTTGAACCATCCGCTGAACCTTCTGCCAAACCTACTACTGAGGCAGCTGCTGAACCTACCGCTGAACCATCTGCAGAACCTTCGCCTGAACCAACCGACGAACAGTCCGGCAACTCATACAGCGATTTACTTGTAGAACCAGTGGCCGAACCGACCGCTGAACCAGCTGCTGAGCCAAGCGCAGAACCCAGTACTGAGCCATCCGCTGAACCAGCTGCTGAGCCAAGCGCAGAACCCAGTACCGAGCCATCCGCTGAAGCAGGTGCAGAACCTATCGCAGAACCAGCCGCTGAGCCAGCAGCTGAACCAACCGCAGAACCAGCTGCCGAACCAACTGCCGAACCTTCCGCTGAACCAACCGCGGAACCAACTGCCAAATCAAATACCGAATTTTCTGTTGCTGCATCAGTTAAATCTGCAACTGAGCAATCATCTGTTCCAAAGCCTGAACCTACGGCTGAACCAACAGCTGAACCAACGGCTGAACCCAATCCCAGTTTAGAACAAAGCCCATCAACAGAAACTCTACCAGCCACACCGAATTCTAATAGCAGACTTCCATCAGATATGTCAATTGAACCGGAACCTACTTTAGAACCTACGCAAACGAACATAGACCACCTTATGCACATACACTCAAATTTGCCTGAATCAGAGGCTACTACTGAACCAGAACCGACATCAGAACCTGAAACAATACAAGATTCGATTCAACATATGACATCGACAGAACTTGGATTGCATATACCAGGTGCAATTGATGAATCAGACGAAAGTCAAGAAACTGAACCAACTTTTCTCGAAGTAAAACCAAATATTTATAAAAATGAATTTGTCATTGATAGCGAAACGACTAAGACAAGTGACAACGAAACTCAATCGAATAGCAAACACCATTTGCTGGAAACCAAAAACGAAACTGAAATAACTACAGAAAGCGATTGGTTAGATAGTAGTCAGGGCATTATAAATGTACATAGACTTGATGAATTCACACAGTCTAGATCATTTTCATCAGATGATAATGAAATATTAGATGAAACTACGACAAACAGAGAAAACAATAACGAGGATATTTCTTTTAATAATCTAATAAATAGAAATGTGGCCGTTTCAAATGAAAAAACTACTATTGTAAATAACGAGGAAATGACTACAATGCCATCTATGGAATACAGCGAAACTACGTCAGTTTCAATGACCACACCTGCACCGATAGTAACATCAAATTATACTAACAGTGAGGTTAAGATTCCTACTGAAAGTGAAACTAAAACAACTACTACAGTAGAACCATCTAAATCTAATGAGGATATTTTAGTTCGTACTACTACAGCAGAACCTGAAGTAGGCACAAAATTCTCATTAAACAAATTAAATAATTCTGAAGAAGATAAATACTTGATGGATGCTCTTAAAACTAAGACAGAAAATCCTACAACATCAGAATCTGTTACTACAGAGAAAAGCGGACAAGATGATAATATGGATATAACGTTTGAAGACATCAAAGCACCAGTTCTTTACAATCGGTCTTCAAAATCAATATTTGGTGAAAACACAACAACGCAAGGAACAGAAGATATAAACACGACAACCGAGTCAGACTGGCTTTTTGAGAACGTAACAGAAATCCCATATGATGACGACATGAACAAAGTGAAAAAAGCTCTAACAACCGAAAGTCCCATAAGCAAGACAGATGAGTTAACAAATCAGAGTGATTTTGAACCTGATTACTTCAATAATATGGGCACTACTAACAGTAAAATGGCTGATACAGACGTGCCTATTTATGGTATGGTACAAGATTATGATGGCGACTTAAGAGTTAAAAGAGTTGATGAAGATAAAGAAACAAACACCACACCAGTAATGTTAGTGGAATTGGTGACAAAACCAGATTCCAGAGAAACTACTACGGAAGGTAAGCTGCTCAACAAAGTTGAAACTACAACGATAAGTGACTACATTTACAAAACTACGGGACGAGATATTATTGTAGCATCACCAGAACCGCAACCAGCTCCTGTATGGGAACAATCTGAACCAGGTATGGACTTTTCTGTTAAAGAATTACAGTCAGATTCAAACAAGAATTCTGAGATGACATTAAGAAACATTCCTGACGAAACAACAACCACTCCCGAAAGTACTAAAAAAGATTTAGAAACTAATGGTCGTGACGGCAGCAAAAATGTTACACAGATCAGTAACTTAAATGTCAATGTGTACGAGGTGTCTAGTCATAAACAAAATGAATCCTTTTCGACTACAGGCACTAATTCCCACTCAGCAGAACAAGAAGAACAGGAATCTGAAAATCCTTTCTTACCAGAAGTAGAAAACAATAAACATCTTGTTAAAAAATTGCAAGAAGGTCATGATTTAGAACCAAATAGTTTGAATGAAACACAAAATGAAAACCTGGATAGTATGTCAGACACACAAGTTTCGTCAAGTAATGAAGCAGTAACGATGGTTACAGAAAAAAGTGATAATACTACTGAGATAATTGAAAACAATAGCACTGATAACCTTAGCAATGAATCGGAACAAGACAAAATTGATAGGATGACAAATAATGCAGAAATATCAAAATGGGAAAACACAAAGATGAATGTTAGTAATGGTATGGAATCTACTTCGGCTATATCATCGTTCCTGCAAGATACTGATGATTTAGACTCAAACTTTGTAACAACCACTGCGGAATCGAATTCAGTTCCAGAAGACCTCAGCGTGATTCCTGTCGGTAAAAGCGTTTCCGAGAAAGATTCATTAAAGAACCTAGATAAAGAAGCTAATCAAAATCTAAATGACATCACTAGTGATTCAACAAAAAATAGTGATAGGACTCAAAAAGTTATAAGTAGCAAACAAAATTCTTTACTAGTTTAGATAGTTTTGTACAGTAAGTTTTTAATTGCTGTTATATTTCCTGTGATTCTATCGTAACTGTCGAACAAATAATTTGAACAAACAGTTTACACCAATGTAAATGCAACAGTCATATTGGTATTAAATGTAGGTACTAATCTACTGTGTGAATACAAATGTATCACTAAATGGTGCCTAGCCTACCTACGTAATGAGGAATATTATCGTTGAGTATGTCGACATACCCATAATATTTTATTAGACTAGTCAATCTAGGAAAGTCATGTCAACTTGAGGTTTAGATTTATTTATTGCTTCGATATTATTGCAGATTGGTGCAAAAGCTAACTTTCGCAATTTTCTGAATTTCCGTAACCGTATTATAAATATTTTCTCACGCACAGGAGAAATTTTAGAGCATATTCCTACTATAAATTGTTACCAGAACTAATGTATATTGTAGTTATTTTATCCAAAATTACGGGACATCATGAATGATTGAAATATTATAATATTACTATGTGATGAATGAAATATGATTCTGCCATGCTGTAATGTGATAACTCGCAGATATATGGACAATCCATTCGCACTTATTTTAACTTAGAGGGTCTGACTGTAATATAATAATTAAAGTAGTAGTTGTTAACTAAGATATATTTTGTATAAATGGTTGAAATTGTAAAGAATTACGTTGTAAATAAATTTTAAGTTAAATACAGAATTATTTGTATCATTTATACGTTAGTAACATTTTATAACATCGCAATATCATCCTTATTCAGACATCTTATTTTGACTGTTTACTTTGAATACAGTTATATTGATACAAATCAATTATAATTATGGATATTTAAAAAATAAGTACATTACTGCTTAAGGGTCTGTGCACACGACGTTTTTAAACGAACAGACACTACGTAATTTACGCGTATTACGATATTACGCAAAAAAGACGGATTGCTATCGCACAATTGTATCATTATTAACCTACACAATGTAACACGTGAACGCTGATATTCTGATTGTTTAAGCGTCGTGATAATACGACCTAAACGCAGGGCCGTGGCTAGGAGGAGGAATTATAGGACAATGCCCTACATTTATTAGCGCTGCCCTATCTTAAATACAACTCTGGCTATGTCCCTGCCCAATCCCCGTAACATGAGCACCACGATTTACATTATATCACTTTTTTTATTTCGTCTAACTGTCAAACTGCATAGTTATTTGACAATTGAGCGTGATAAAAACGCGTTATGTATCATATCGCGATGATCATGCTGGCAGGTAAAAGTCCCTCAACTCATCCGGTTACATATATAAAAGACATAAAAAGTGCTGTAAAACCACTAGGTTTGGTTTGATTTAGCAAAATGCAGCTGTACAGTAATTCGTTCTGAATTTATAACAGTCAATACAAAGTAGGTCATTTGTTACTTACTTACTAAAACCAATAACCTATTTCTTGTACATAGGCTAGCTTGGCTGAAGAAAAGAGAGTCATAAATAACAATGTTATTTTGATTCTACAATAATAAAATATTAAGAATGTAATAAGTACTTTAATTATAGCAGGTACCTCTTCAGATACTACAATATCCACTAAAAATATTTATAAAGTAACAGTCGTTTACAATAAAATGTAATATATAGGCTTATCTTAGTCGAGTAACTAAGCAAATGTTATATCTCAATAATTACTAAAGTGTCTAGACAACTGAGTTCTGATAATAGCCCAAGAAACAAAGATCGCGGTTATACTTGAGGGAATTTAATGACCAAAAACTTTTATAAGATGTTTTTTATCAATTAATGGCATTTTCAAGGTTTTATAAAGGAAAACTACAAATATGTTCAAATAAACAACAATAATTGAAAAAACGGTAAGAGTTATAATAAAAAGTTTTAGGTAAAAAAAAAGGTTAGGGAATTTAGTAATATACAAAAAAGCACTCTACAACTTTTACCGTAAAATCAATAACTTCGGAGATTACACGTTTTCCAATATATATAGCGGCCAGTGTTACCCTACATTCCCCGATTTTTAAACTTAAGCTTCTTGTGGCCTACCCTAACATCTGTAAAAAAGTAGTGTGGTAAAATTCTGTTATTCGGTTTTCTCTATTGCTTGGGCTATAAGCATTTGTCAGCAGGGCAGAGATACCCATTTTATCGAAAATAGTTGTAGAATTATGGACGACTTAAAAAATATGACACAAAATGTTTATAAAATATTTTAGTACCTATTCAGTTTTAGATTGTTTCAGACTTTAACACATATCATTGCAGATAGACACTAGAATTCCTTAATACATAATTATCACAGACTAATCTTGTCAAGAGAAAGACACATACATTACGATACGATCAAAACGCGTTATGTCTTAGGGCATGGTGTCAGCTCATTTATTTCTTGGTCCAACATTTGCTGATCATCCAAAGCCATTTTTGCACACAAGCAACCTTCACTGATAGTTCCATTCCCACTAACTATACAATTTCCTAATACCTCCTTGCAACTGTTAAAAGGGATCTTGTCAGAGGGACTTGTATTCATTATAACACCACTTGAGACAATGTTTATATTTTCATTTGAATCTAATATAGGCTCTATGTCGATATCGAAACTAGATTTTATTCTGATTGTCCCATCTAAATTATAATCTATAATTTCGTCAGTTACATTCCTACAGTTCGAATAATTTTCATGTATATTTTGGTATGAAATATCACTTGTACAGCCACAATCATCACAGCTGTTGTTGATTTTTATTGGTTTTAGTTTAACCGTTTCAACATTTATTTTGTTGATGGACTTGCAAGTTTTATTAGCTAGCAATTCATAAGTGTCTTCAATTGATATTGCATTAGGTTGTATCTGAGCACATAAACATTTTTGTTTGCTGTTTCCATCTTCTCCCATGATACAGCCTCCGAGACTAGACTTACAATTGCTGATTGGCTCTTCTTCATTCAAATCAAGAGCATCTACTTTCTGCAATATTGTTAATTCTTCGTTTTCGATTAAACCCGTTTTATAAGCTCCACTATTAGAGTACTGGTTTTCAAGTTTCTCTAAGTACTGTTCTCGCCAGTCCTGGACTTCCTCATTTTCTGAAACAATATAAATTGTGTTTTATTGAAACTTAGTCCAACTGTTGATTTAATTTACGATCCAGCTGTTCTTACACTATGTTGAGGATAGGAGGAGGATAATGGATAAAAACAGGAATAACATTAATTAAATATATTGTAGCACATTAAGTACAACCAGAATTTTAGTTTTTGAGTGACAGCAAAAACATAGATAAATCGTAGGTATAAAAAATGACAACAAGTAGGTTTGATTTGCCACATTCTCCCCTCCGTATGAGAAATACGTAAAAAATAGTTGTGTGGCGAATCAAAATTAACAAAACAACACTTCACAAGAAAAAGGTAAAAAAATCAAACTAAATGAAAGTGGAAATGTAAATGAAAGTGATTGGTACAGAAGCTAAATTTTGACGATCTTCTTTACTGGTCGTCGTAACACTCCACCCTTAGTCGCGACATCTACGACTCTAATTATTCCATCTCGTCCGGGATAGGTATTCGTTATGCGCCCTTTTGGCCATACCCCGCGTGGTAGAGTTTCGTCAGCGATTATGACAACGTCACCGATGCTAATGTCGTTCGGTGTATTAGGAACGGGTGTTCTGGAGTGCAGTGACGGGAGAACTTCTCGGACCCAGCGGTTCCAGAAAAAGTCAGCAAGGCGCGATGCCTTACGCCACTCTGATCTTCCGACAAGAGCAGAATCTGTTAGGGCTGGATATGGCACAGCCATTGATGATGACTGCCCGATTAAAAAATGTAACGGCGTAAGTGCCTCTTGATCTGCGTCATCTACGCTCACATGCGACAAAGGCCTTGAATTAACAATGGCTTCAGCCTCTAAAAGCAAGGTTACCAATGTTTCCTCTTTGGGTGCCCTCTCATGAAGAGTGACTCGCAACGCTGTTATTGTGGAGCGTACGAGTCGCTCCCAATATCCTCCAAAAGATGGCGCTGCTGGTGGTATAAATTTCCATCGGATGCCTCGCGTAGCGGTGTACTCCTCAACTTCCGTGCCGAAGAACTTTTCCAACTCCTTGCTTGCGCCGACAAACGCTGTACCGTTATCCGACATGATAGTCATAGGCGTTCCCCTCCGTGCCATAAAACGCCTTAGGCTCATAATGGCGGAGTCAGTGCTTAAGCTATGAACGACTTCAAGGTGTAACGCTCGGATGGTCAAACACGTATATAAGGCTACGTAGCGTTTTTCTCTACGGCGGCCGACTGAAACAACCACAGGACCGAAGTAGTCCAAACCCACGTGTGTAAAGGGTCGGCCGTGGTGATCCAGACGTTCGGCAGGCAGATCAGCAGTCGGTGGATTGACTGGAATAGTTTTCCTTACTCTACAAAATTGGCAAGATCGCGCAACAGCTCTCACAGTTGGTCGGAGTCGTGTTATCCAATACTTCTGGCGCAATTCATTAACAACTGCCTCATTACTTGAATGTGCCATTCTCTTGTGGTAGTGGTGGACTAGCAGTTGAACCACACGATGACGCCCATCCAGTAAAATTGGTCTTCGAGTGTCATAGCTGATGTTTTCCGCCATCTGCACACGGCCTGCAAGCCTTAATATTTTATTCTCATCGAGGGTTGGAGATAATTTTAAAAGGGTACTGCTCTTGGGAATATTCTGTGAAGCCAATAAACATCTTATTTCCTCTTCAAAGCTTTCAACTTGACATCGTTTCAGAATATGCTGTTCGGCTGACTTCGTGTAATCTACTGTTAGAGCAGGTAGGTTGGAGAGCGATAGAAATTGTTGCGATGACGCGCTGTTATGACTACGCAATGAAAATGGAGTATAAACACGTGAAGAATGGGATGAAGTTGGAATATGACTATTGCGTGTACTAGAATTTCGAGGGTGAGGGCCTAAAAGTTGTTTGAAACGAGCAGCGGCTTGATGAGCCCGCGATGTTGCTCTTACAAGACGTGTCCAGTCACTAAAACGATCTGGATCTGCAGTGACGAATTTTGGTAGTTCAATTACGTTAGTGAGTCCCACCATTTCACACGGACTCTTTGTTTTGTACTCCGTGAGAAGTGGTGCGACTGTCGTGGACGGTTCCGTCGGCCAGGTCGATTCATAAAAGAAGGACCGTCAAACCATCTCGATGAGAGCTCCAATGTGTGGATTCTCGTCGCATCGTCCGCTATATTCAACTCTGATGGGACCCACCGCCAATCAGTAACGTTAGTGTTCTCACTGATTTCACCGACGCGATGAGCCACAAAAGGTCGAAAAGTTCGTGCGTGTCTGAGCAAATCTAACTTAGGACTGTTCGCGAGTCAGTCCAATAAAACACTCTTGCCGGCTTATTTCTATGGCTTTCTGTAATGGTAACGGCTAAGCGGGAGGCCAGTAGAGCTGCCTGAAGTTCTAGACGGGGGATGGAGACAGGTTTAAGTGGCGTAACGCGAGATTTACTGCCGATTAGAGCGAGTTTGTAACTGCCATCTGTTAGAGTAAAACGCCAAAAAGCTACACACGCGTATACAAGCTCGCTCGCGTCGGAAAACATGTGTAATTCTCGTTGTGAGATCTTTTCGCAGCAGTAGCAACGCTGAATGCGCATACTAGATAAAAGAGTCAACTCACTAAACCAATCTCTCCAAGCTAAGGTCTCAGATTCCGAAAGTTTATCATCCCAGCCAACACCGGTACGCCATAAATTTTGGAACATAATGCGTCCTTTAATTGTAATGGGAGCAAGCAGCCCTAAAGGATCATATATGCGCATAAGCTGTGATAATACTTCACGTTTTGTAAGTGACTGCGCTGTAGATGAACAGACAAGCTTATTAATCAATCCCGACCTAAAACCTATGGTATCTTTTTTCGGGTCCCAAATTACTAAAGCACGCACAGTGCTACTTGTTGGGTCCTTCGGGGTTGCTCGCAACTCAGGTGGAATGAGTGAAAGCATGCGCTCATCATTTGATAACCAACCGCGCATCTCGAAGCACGCGTTTTTATGCACCTTGACAATATCTATAGCTAGTTGTGCTGCCTCATTTATCTCGTCGTGGCTACTGATGTGATCATCCATGTAATGATCATTGACAATTGCAGCAGCAGCCATTGGATATAAATGAGCCAGCTCCTCTGCATTTTTGTTTTTAATGAAGAGCGCTATGTAAGGACTACAGCATGCACCGAAAATGACAGAGGTCATGCGGTATTCCTTAATGGGCTCTGCGGGGCTCGGTCTCCATAAAAAACGAAGAGCATTGCGGTCTTGCTCATTTATCTTAATTTGCGGAAACATTTCTTTTATATCCGCGGTCATAGCATAACGTCCTTCCCTAAACCTATATAATATGGCAATGAGTGATTGCAGCAGATCAGGTCCAGATAATAGTAAAGAGTTAAGGCTGACACCATAGGTTTTGGCTGCCGCATCGTGCACCACACGAAGCTTGTTTTTCTGAGGGTGGTACACTCCAAAATGCGGGAGATACCAACGCGGCGCTTCGATGAGTGTACGACTCTCAGAATTGTACCGTGCATGATACGTATCGACGGCGCACTCTTCAGCGTAGCTCTTACCTAGCATATCTGTAATGTAGTTACGATAAGCTTCAGCAAAACTTCTATCTTTCTGCATACGTTTTTCTAAGCTTTTGAAACGTGACTCAGCTTGAAAGTAATTATCCGGAATGTGTGCAATCCCTTGACGCCAAGGTAATCCAAACGAAAAACGCCCAGACGATAAACGCGTAGTGGTAGATTTCAAAATGTCTACGGCACGTTGATCGTCGGTACTAAGAGACGTACGCTTAGAAATACCAATTGAGTCCAGTTTATAATACTCCTTTATTAGTAGTTCTAAGGAAGAGTCACTAGTGCCTCCATTTGAATCGATAAAACTTAAGTGACTAATAAATGTTACAGGTTTAGTTCGTCTGTCTACGGGACCGTAAATTGTCCACCCAAGGGCCGTAAGACAACCTACCGGGTGTGTGCGGTTACCCTTACGGACCTCGCGTGTAATGGATAAATGCCAATCTTCGGTGCCTATGAGAATGGTAGGAACGGCATTCGTGTAAATAAGCATATCGGCAATATCAGATAAATGAGTGTATTTATTAATGTCTGATACGGAAATAGTCTGTCTATGAAGAGATAAAGAATCAATTGTTCTGGCATTCTTAATCGTATACACTTCTTGTGTGTACTTGCCTTTAATATTAAAGCTTACATAGGAAACGTTAACTTGTGTGCTCATACCGCCTACAGTATTGATCTTAATACAGTCTGTAGGACCTGCGACTCCAATCACATTGGCAACTTTGGTGTCAATTAGTGTAGCTGTACTGCCGTCATCCAGTAAGGCATAAGTGTCGTAATGCCCTGCTGGACCACTAACAGTCACAGGTACAACTTTTAATAAAACGCTTGGTGTGAATGCGGATGTTTGAGCGTTCGGTGTAAATGAGGAAGGAAACAGATCAACTGTAGACAAACCTACAACTTCTTCAATATGTGGCTGTGAAGACGATGGTTGTACGATTTGGTCATTGTGTAGCAATGCGTGGTGTCTACGGGTACAACCATTGACGCCACATGCCTTTACTTTACATGTGTTCCAAGTATGCGTACTGATTTTGAGGCATCTGTAGCACGCTTTATTATTGCGAACCCAACGCCACCTATCTTCGGTAGTAAGTAGCTTGAACCCTGAACAGTCTTTTATGTTGTGTGCTTTTTTACAAAAAATACAAGTATTTGGCGGTTTTATGCCACTGACAGAATGCGTAGATATTTCGTACCGGTTACTTGATCGATGAAAAGATTCTTTAGGGGATGGAAGAACTTGTGCGTCAGGAGACATGCCAAATTTAATATGCCGCTCTAATTCCCTTACTAAAAATTCGCTAAGAAGTTCCAACTTAGGCTTATTTTGGTTGTTTTCTGACGCGAAGTCCGTCCATCTCATTCTAAGAGTGTGGTTTAATTTGCCTACTATGCAATAAAATAATTCCGGGGAGTAAAGATATTCGACTTG